TTTTTTTTTTCTAATTTTTTTTTTCTTTTTTTTCTTTATTATTATTATTTTTTTATTATTAATGAGTTACTTTTTTCAAATGTGGGTCGTTAGGACGATTATTACCTAGGTTTAACATCGGGCTTTGTCCCCGAGTCCCCTAGGCCGATTTCCCGTACTCATTGACCCGGTTTATCTAAAAGACTAACCGAGTCAAGAGGAGCCTAATCTGTTCAAATCTCATGAACTCATTTTCATGAGCTTCTTTTTCCAAACGTGGTTTCCGGACGAGATGATCTTGGTTTAAGCTCGAGGGGTTTCCTCGAGTTTCCTAGACTGGTTTCCCGGGCTCATTATCCCAATCCACAAAGTGGCTCGGAATAAGAAGAGCCTAATCCGTACTTCTTGGCGAACTCACATCTTATTTCTCATTTTTTTTATTTTTATTTTTTTTCCGAAGGGAGTGGCACACAAAAATACATCACAATTACAATAAAATGATCATCACAACTCAATCAAGACGTACCACAAGTGTATAGTAACACGTTTACGAAGATAATCGAACATAGGTTAAGCATGCCTCAAGACAATCAATCGAGAACAAACAAAGGACAAAATAATTCCGTGAATTCACATGCGGGTTCCAATACTAACGAATTATCAATCAATTTTAGGACACCGTCCAAATCATCATGTACATAAGGCATGAACGCTGACAATGAAACCAATCAATAATCTCGACTCACCACTTAGCTATTTCGACTCTTGAACAAACATCAAGCTTCATGTGGGATAAGTGACTCAAAATCACAAAAACTAAAATAAAACCGGTCCATGACACGAAAAACACGAAAAATAAAGCACCGAAAATGAGAGAAATATCACCTAAACATGCATAATCACGAAAATCCTTCCCCCACACTTAAAACAAAACAATGTTCTCATTGCTTGACCAAAAAGTATAGGAGAAGGCACATAGTCATTTAAGCTCATGTGATTAAAACAAAAACGAAATACAATAAACAAAGAAACAATAAGAGAACAAACACAAAGACACACAAGAAGCACGAAGGAAAAAAGAAAATAGGAAAAGAAAATGCGTACTCTACACGGTGGTGGCCACCACCGTGTGTCTAATGGTGTTCGTCAGGTGAGAATAGAGAAAATAATCCGAAAGCCATTGAGCTCAAAATGAATCCATCCGAACGATTGGGCAACGAGCACATGAAACCATACGGGCCACATGTATGTGTCTCGGAGGAATGATTTCCGTGCTTCCATGAACTCGACGAAGACACACGTATACGTGAAATCTCAAAATATCGGGTATATAATATGCAAAGTATAAGAGAGTCCCATCCTTTGTCTCCGAATAAAGGCCACTTGTATGCATCTCAGAGAAATAATAACCGCGAATCCATAAAATCGACGAAGATGCACTTGTGCGTGAAAGCCCATATATCGGGCAACAAGGTCGTCAACGATACTTGCAATAATATAACACGGCCAACTCCTCTTTTGAATCAATGAACGAATTGATTACCGGAGTTTGCCGTAAGTAGGAACCTACAAACTCAAAAATCTGGCAAC